TAAAATTATAAATCATAAATAAACAAAAATTAGTTTTATTAGTTTCGATTTTTTAATTGATTTTTGCTAATTGTTGACTGATTTTAAGCGATTTATGCCGAAATTTGACCAATTTTTAACATAAATGCTGATTGATAACCGATTTTCTATTTACTCAAAGTGCCGATTGTTTTGGCAATGATCAGCAGAATTAGACTATATTTTGGCCAACTTTCAGCACTTTAAATGTGACGAATTGTATTATTTTGCTTAGTGATATTTCAAATAATTACCAATTGTTAATGTCGAATGTTTTTTTGTATGGCATGAAAATGGGCAACTTCAGCTATTACTAAAAATGCTGATTGTTTTGGCAATGATCGGCAAAAATTAGACTATATTTTAGCCAACATTCGGCACTTTAAAAAAGTGACGAAATGTATTATTTCGACTAGTGTATTCAAATTTTGGATAATTTGAATTACAAGATATTGAGATATTAATATAAATGTTAAATTAAAAATAATTTTAAATATAAATTTTAGTTAATATTAAATTGATTTTTATAATGATTCAAATTAAATAAAATTTTAATAAATAATAAATGAATATTATATTTATAATATTTCAAAATTTGAGCTAATTTGAATTATTGGCTATCAAGACAATTAATATAAAGATAAATATTTTAAAACTTTAATATTTTTTGCTTTTTTAATATTCTTTTATATAAATATATGTCAAAAATAACTAGTAATTTAAATTAGCTCAAATTTTGAAGTTTTATAAATATAATATTTATTTAATTTGAATCATTAGATATTATAAAATCAATTTTTTTAATTTAATGTTTACATCAATATCTCAATATCTAGTAATTTAAATTATCTAAAATTTGAATATTTATACTTTGAAATTGTATCTAAGATATATCAAAATTTGGTCTAATTCTAATCGATGTGATTTGAGATATTTAATGTCAAATATAGCATTTAGATACTTTTTGCCACTTCCTGTAATTAGAAATATTAGCAATAGAAACAAATTAGCTGTAGATATTTTTCGAAAATATAAGAGAGTAAAGAAATAACTTGATATTAGGACTTGTATTAAATGGCTTAGGATTTGTTATACTCCTTTTCTTTTTGATAACATCATACATTTCATTTATTTATGTTTGCCATTTTGTAAAAAATAAATAATAAAATTAAAAATGAAATAATCAAATCATTTCTTAAGAAACCCAAAAACTACCTTTTTCAATTTTTTAATTATACACTCTGCATAGAGAAAAATAATTGCTTAGAATACTCCTGTGTAAGATCTGCAAACCTACCGCAAATTAATCACTTTAAAATCTTATGATCTCAGAATCATATTACATGAAAATTACAGTAAACAGATGTGGAAAGATATTCCTCTCTGTTGAACTATTAAGCCCTCTGTAAATTAAACATTCTGAAACCTTACGAGCTCAAGACCATATTGCATGACAATTGCAGAAATGCTTATTCTCAAATTTTCTTAAACATGAATATGGTGATCATTATATGACACCATGTAATATGACAAATATATCCTTTAAATACATGCGTTTAGGATGCAACAAAATAAATTTCTCATTAAACATGTCAGACTCAAAAGTTAAATCCAGCTTCAGAAATTACCGATCTAAAAAGAAATTAAAAAATAACAACTTTTTTGCAGATACAGATACCTGGCAATAGTCATTTCATTACTTCTACACTTCTATCCTTTACTCTAGAGATTCGCCAAAAGGTATTTAATGAAATTTTTACAAGTGAAATATCAGTTTAAACTTCATACGAAAGCATAACTTTACCTTAGAATCAATAGTAAATTTTGTGAAAAAGCTAATTAAATATAATGATTCAGAGAATTGCGGAAATCTTGCAAGCAGAATTTCCACACTCATATTCTTTCATACATATCAAGTAACTTAGTAGCGAAAAGTGAAACTGCACTGGATTACATGAAATAGTTAAAGGAAATCTTGTCAAATAAATTACACAAGCGATTAGCTTTTGATTTATCTGAAGATGATGAGGACTATGAGAATATCAGAAAAATAGTAAAGTGTTAGAGTAGGTGTTTAACCTGGAGTCTTAGATTTTATTTGCTTGTTTTAACACTCAATTTACTCAATACACATAGAATGAGTAAAAGCGGAAACAATTGTCATTATCAAATAAGATTAAAATATAATTTAAAACTTTTGATATATAATATTTTCTTGAATTTTATATGAGCATTTTTTAATGATGATTATTATCTACAGAATACAAAATCAATTGATCTATCTGCAGAAATATCTTTATCAAAGAGACAAAGGAGCTATTTATCAGATGATGATGATGAGCTTTTATTTTCTGATTTTGAAATAGTACTCATTTCACTCACAAATGTTTTTCGTGAAATTTCTGATGAGTGTTCATATTCTGATCCTGATGAATTGAAAAACAAAATGACTGAATCAAGCACATCTACAAAAGAAGTTGAAAATAAAAGGCTAATGACCAAAAAATGACAATACATTACTCAAAATATTATAAGTGATGCTCTAAAAGCATATTAAATGTGTGTTTTACCAGGTGATAAGTTTATTATGATTATATGAACGTGTTAGATTACAAACGAATTTCACCATATCAATTGGGATCATAAATTTTTATAATACAAATTGTATAAAATATTTGCCGCTTGATTATAAAATGTTTATTGCAAATCAACTTCAAGACAAGGAAATAAAATTTACCAAGGGAAGAACAATTGATAAGTTTCTAGTCAATTGTGAGGAAGGTGTCATACAGTTTTTAGATAAGTTTAAATTAAAGATGGAGCTGTAATTAATTTTAAAATTTTTAGCTAGTTGCAACTTAAGTTGCAACTCATTGAGTTGCAAC